GATGTCTACTAATATTTATAAGATTCGTAAACTATTTAATACTTCATTAAATATATTTGATTTATCATATAATAGTGCTCATGCAAACATTATGAAGAAAAAAATGAAAATTGTTTTTAAGTTCGACTAAAAAATGAGCAAAAGTGTTTGTAAACCGTTCAATACAAGTATAGATTAATTTAAACTATAAGTTGCATTAAAGTGGTCATTTTTATTTAAAAGATAAAAAAGAAAATGCAGCAAACACAGCGAGACTCCTAACTCACTTCATTGACATCTGGCAGTTTCTGCTTTGTTCCACGTGTATATTATACGTGTATTTCGTGTTTAATTATATGACCAAACAAAAATTACAACGTCATAGGTATGAGCAGTTTTTCTTTTACTACTTTATAATTTAAAAAGCTAAATAAACGTGACCTTCTCTTTGCTCATTCAGAAGTCTTATACGAAAAAGAAAAGGAATACGTGTGCGTGTGTATATATATATATATATATATATATATAACAAGTAATATCATATTTAAACATTAATAACTTAATTTTTTCAAGCAATTTTTGCATTTAATTTATGTTTCTATTATATTTAATATATTGTAAAAATCAGAATTTAAGACGATTTAAATATTTATTTTTCATTCGCATAGCGTACTAAGTTTGTGTGCTATGCTAAACTAAAATTCTAATACACATTACCAGTCTTTAAACCCTCACATAGCGTCCCTAATTCGTTATTCGAATTAAATGGGCAGTGATCCCAGACCACCACCAGTCGCATAGCGACAGGATTCGCCATGACGAGTCCAAAAACAGTGAGCATCACTCTCTGGTAATTCGCACATCGCACTAATTCGCACAGCGAATTACCAAGACAGTGCACCCTCTATAAGATCTTGCTATACGAGACAACATAACATCTTTTAAAAATAAAATCATGTGAAAAAATATTCAAAAACAAATAATACTTCAGATACATTAAGTGATTGATCACAGTGATATAAGTTGATAATCAAATTTCAGTCTTAAAATCGATAATAAAATACTCTATCTTTTTAATGTTATATTTGAGATATTTAGTTATTTTTCTTAAATCTCAATTAAGAATTTATATTTTTACCACATTCAATAATTTTATATCCTTAAAAGTCGAGAGATAAGTTAAATAGTTTTTTTCTTTCCACTATTTAAAATATTTTTTAAAAATAAAATCGTGATTACTTTTGTAGAAAAGTTTATTTTGGATTATTAGAGAAAATATTACGAAAAGAAAATATCTAAGTTCAATAAAGAAAATATTTTAGTGAGATGCATGAATACATCATCTAGGAATGTAGAGACATGCTGATGTTATAAAATCAGCTAACTCTTATATATAGAAATATAATATTTGTATAATAGATGTAAAGTGCAGATTATACTTTGAAATTTGCATGTGCAAATATTGATGAAAAAATGTCTTTTTATGATAATGTATTTGAAGTCAAGGGTTGAAACACGTGCGTGGCTGCTGCTAGCAGTTTCGCCAATTGCAATTAGTTGACCAGTTTTGACCACATTTTTTTATTCTTTTCATTTGTCGATATAATCAAATTCGTGTAATCTTGGGTTTACATAATTTTATATTGGGTTTCCCAATTTTATTTTTATACCAGTCAAATTACACTTTTTCCAGCTGTCTTTAAAAAGAAAAAAATAACTCTTCAATTGTCGATTTCAAAGTTATATTACGGCTACATAAATAGTTGTGTTGTTTTGTATAATTTATTATTTAAAAGTTGGAATTTGAGATAATTTAAATATTTTTTATTTTTTAATGTGTTTTTAAGAATAAAATTAGAATTTTAAGTTGAACGTGATAGGAACATGTTTTTGTAAATATTTAATACAAGTATTTGTCATTCAGAATGAGTCTTTTGTAACTGGTCTTTTTATTTATAAATTTGATTTCTTTTGGGTACAACTTAAAGGTAATTTCTTTTAATATCTCCATATTTTTTTCCTCCATTTTTATGAACATGAAAAAAATTTCAATTATTTATAATTCGGAAACATTATGAATTTTATGATCTAAAAATTTATTTTAAATCACAATATTAATAATTTAAAAATATATTCTGGATTGAACCGTCTTAAAATGTAATTCAGATTTGCAGAATCTAAAATTATATTTTTGAAAAACATAATTCGAAAATGTATTATCATTGTATTACACAAAATATATTTTTAGATTGTGATCTAAAATATATTTCAAAGTGTATAATTTATAATATAAGTATAGATTATGTAATTTTAAATTACAGAATTTAGAATAATGTTTTATATTTAAAAGTATATTGTAGATTTAAAATATGGATCGAGTAATTTAGATTATATTCTTTTATTATACAATCCAAAAATCATGTTATATTTATATAATATAGAAGTTTAAAATATATTTTCATATCTCTAAATATATTTTAGTTTATATAATGTAAAATATATTTCATGCACCCATAATACAAAATATATATGTTTCTAAGTTTCACAATCCAAAAATCTAATACATGACTTTCTTTTTTATGTTTCCAACATTTCATGGAGGTACAAGAAGAAAACGTAGAATTAGCAGAAGTGTTGCATCCTCTGATTTTGACTGTACGCCCAAATATTTAAAGGTCCAAAACATTAACTTATGGACAAGTTTAAAATGACATTTAATATGCAACAATAATTTTTTTTTGTTTTTTTTCATTGAATAAAAATGTTCTGAAAAAAAAAGTCTTCTTACAATTTTAGGTTGACCTTTCAATGAAATATTTGAGTCAATATAATTTGATGTTTCTCTATAAAGAAAACAAGTAAATAAGTTTTATTTTTATAGGATATAATTATTCAATTCCTCATGGTTTGCCTCTGTTTAAGATTCTTTGGACTCCCTTAATCATTATATATTAACTCACAGATATTTGTTAACTAATTTTTGTACTCGTGCAATGCATTGAGATATGTTATAATTTATGTTAATACTATACGTTTTCAAAAAAACATGTATAATTATTCTTGACATGCACTCAATTAATAATATAAGTTAGAATAATAAAATTTTTTTTCATACTTTAATAAGTTTATAAGTATTTTGATAATGTCCTAGCACAATCAATGCATCAATGGGTGAATTAACTGAATAAATAAATACCGTTAAAAATTATATAAATTGAAAAGATCAAGTTATGATTTATTGTGTTTTTATTTTATTGTTGTAAATAGAAAAACATTTCCACAATGATTACAAAAAGCATGTAAATTTCATGTCTCTTATTTTGGAGTCTCCTCCCTTTAAACTATTGTTGTACCATATGAAATATCGATCGGAGTTAGAATATATTAATGGCTCAGATTGCTTTACGCTTTATAAATATACAATATTAATTATTGATTATTAAGTTTGATTATCTAAAAATATATTGCACTAGTGGTTAATCAATGAACTTGGCTGCCACAAGTCCTATAAATATACAATTGATGTCCAGGTATAAATATCTTTTTCTAATTCTTATCTATCATAACAAAATAATGACCTCTTTATCAATCATATCTGACTTGGGCGTGTTTTCTGCAGATCAACAATTCATCGGAGTGAATTGTGTTATTGGAGAGGATTGGACAATTGAAATAGAACAAAACAAGGAAAGACAACCGACACTCGACCAATTCAACCGAAACAATTGTCAAAATAAAATTTATTCCATCCTAGACCACTATTGGTAGATTTTTAGGTGTGTTTATGATCAATAATTTACATTTGACACTGGTAATCATTTTATCAATATTGTAATTCCTTATGGATGGTTTTGAACTTCGCTATAATGGGTCTGCTTATGATGTTTTGTGGGTTGTCCATGGAGTCTTGGGATGTTGAAAGCCAGGATATCTAGGAGGTGAAAGGCAGAAGAATGATATAGTGAAAAAGGCATAATGTTAAAACTAAAAATGAGAGAATGAAGATCTAAGTGAAATGTCGTCACTAATAACACTTAATGTGGCTTGCAGTAAAAAAAATGTATGTAGATTTGGTTCACAAATTTCACTCGAAATATGTAAAACACAGTTAAGAATTAACATGGGATGAAATGATCATCACCATGGCATTAGAGACAACACTTGAGCGAGTCAGTGAGTTTCACTGTCTCTCATTCTTATTTTTAAAATAAAAATTGATCTTCATTTGTATCATATAAATTTTTTGTTTATCTCCATTTTCATTGGAAAACAACTATATCATTAACTCCTTTACTATTGCAAATATTAATTAACTTTTTTACAAGTAAAAATCACAAAAAAATATATATTATCATATTCATAGGAGAAATATATAACAAAATTATAATTATATAAATATTAAATAAAAGTACTAAAAATAAAGTAAAAATAATTAAATATGTGTCTTAAAAAAATAATCAATAATCATTATATTACTTAATAAACTAAAGGTGTTTTTGATAATAATGGATTGAAACAAATAAAGGATTGGAATGGATATATACATACTTATATATAAATTCACATATCCAATTTAAAAATTTGGATTACTCATACACGAAATTCTGCTTTAAAATCGAAACAGGTTCAGACACCACTTCTATGCATAAAAATACTGGTGAAGCCAATATCTACGATTTTGTTAAGATATTAAACTTTAAACAATTAAAAAATAACTAATTTCAGGTTTGTGGTAAAAACATGTCCTCCAAAGGCATACAAAGGAATTGGTACGAAATCCCTTTCAGTGCCTAAATTGCTTCTTCAATGTTGACGACTCTACCACATGAATTGAGCTTTGGGCAACCCTACACATTAATTAATTGCAATAAATCCCCTCAGAAAACTGGTGTAGAAGCGGGTTCTATATGATACAGTAATTGCTTGACAAGGATTGCTGCGACAACAACGCACTGATAGAACAGTGTTTTAATTTTCTTTTATGTCAAAACAAAAAGAAGATTCCAAAAATGCAACTAAGATACAACAGCTACGTGCCAAAGGTAATAGGTGGATCGGAATAAATATATTAAACAAAAACTTTAAAGTCCCGATTGAGAAGGTATAATGTGCTGATATATAATATATACATAACCGAGATGATTTGTCAAAAGCAGCCTTAAAGCAATGAAGAAGAAACTCCATGTGGAGATTTTGAATGAATCAAAACTAGATACATGCTACTCTAATAAATTTTGAAATAAATAGACCCTGATAAAATTATGACACAAATAGATCGCTCCGGAACTTCAATTTACACAATTTAACTCTGTAACATCACCAACTATACTAACCATGATTAAATCTAAGACGATGTGAATGCAGATTTGGAGCAATTTCTTGGTTGGTTGATAACATCCAATAAACTGAAAATGTTGAACCAAGAAAACACTTATCATTTACAGGCCAACCCACTTCACCCATCTGAAGATCCGACCAACTCTCAAGGGTAACTCGTAGTCATTAGCAACAGCAGGCTCCCTTCTAGCAACTTCAGTTTCCGACCAGACGTATACTCCACGTTCTTGCTTACTGCCAGGCACTGTATTATCCAAGATGACAGCAACAAGAAAAGCTACTACCATGTGTAGAGAAAAGGTTGTGTTCAGGAAATAGTTTAACTGCAAAAGAAAACAGATTCATTATTGTGCTAGGAAAACCTGACATGTAAGCCAACGGCTATTAAATTTGCCCTAAAAGAGTACATTATACTTTAACCAGCATTGAATTGCTAAAGTTTAAAAAGAAACCAAATGGAAATCACGTTATATTTTAACCAGCATTGAATTGCTAAAGTTTAAAAAGAAACCAAATGGAAACCACGTTATGATGACTTTCCAATACTAGTGTATTTATTGTGAGTTAGCTCACTGCATCATGAATTTATGCCATATAGTATTATAGAAATTAATAACAACCACTGCTACATTTACCAGTTTGCAACCATGAAATAACATGCAGGATTCAGTTAAAAAAGATGCTGCACACGAGCAGAAATCTTATTAAAACTGGGTAGTAAGACAAACGGTTCTTAAAAATTACTCGTGCAGGCAAACTACTTATATGTCACCATGGAATAAAATGAAGGTAGTTTCTATTCATTCACCCGACAGAGGGAGATAGTCTTTTCATTTTATTTGCTTCAATCTTTCAGTTAAGTCTTATACCAACAAATTTTGATCACAGAAAATAACTGTATGAAAAACAAGTATATAATTCACAAAAGTAAAGGATCTGACACAAGCGCATACCCCTCCATATTGGGTGCGGAAAGGCCCATGAGAAGCCACGATGTAGGGTTGAAAGTAACTGGGCACTGACGAGTTGGAATGTGGGGAGATGCCGTATTGTTGAAAGTAGGCAGGTACGGAAAGAGAGAAAAACAGTGATAACCCAATTATGATGATGTTGCGAGAGCTTCCAGCCTCACTATAGCGTAGATTTGACAAGCCCAAAGCTGTAAGCATTGCCCACATAAAGCATAAGAGACCAGCGACCATGACTTCAGGAATTGAAGCAATGAACCCTCCCACCTTACCTGTTCAATGCAAGTAAAGTTATATTTGCAAAGAAAAATTCTAAAATTGAGTACAAATTGCAATAGATATAAGAAAAGCCTCTATATCCCCGCCCAAATATACCACTAAAACCTTGTAATTAAATCACTATGCACAATACAATGATTCACTAGCACACCACGAACGAAATTGATGAAAACAATTTAGACTACTACTTATTCTTCAGAAAGGCTCAGTACTAGAGATTATGTTATAAGCATCATACATTTTGCTAGCTGTTCTGAACTTCTAAAAGGGAAAAACCAAGATATATTACAAATGACATTTCATCTAAAAGTTGTCGTTGTAAATCTACTTTTGATCAGTGGCTATTAATCACAAGTAGACTGATAAATTAGGATGCAAGAAAAGAAAGACGCTATACACTTACCCACAAGAGACAACAGTATCAGGAAGCATGCACCCAATTGAACTGCTCTGCGGCTTCCCATTTTAGTGACCGCAATGGTATGAACATTTTCAGTTAAGGTGGTAGACCCTGTTCCAGTTCCCCAAAGACCAGCCAAGACACTAGAAAGACCCTCCAAACCAATTCCTCGACTAAGAACTCCAGGAGTCGGAGGACGAGACGCTACCAATAAAGAAGATGCATGATATGAACCAACCTACAAAATTTAAAATAAAATGACTATCATCAACAACACGAGGTGATTATGTAATCCTGCATATAGAAAAAAAAAATCATGAATCCAATTTTGATGTATTAGATTGTTAATCTCAGATAAATGCTATTTTTACTTATCCTGAAAGCATCTTCAAAATAAATAAAATGCCATAATGGCATTTGCAGTGTTGAAATTTTACAGATGGTGTCTACTTAATGTGAACATTTCTTGGGGGGGGGGGGGATTACAGATGTCACCAGGTGAAAACAACAAAATAAGTTAAACCATTGATCTTAACTTTAGAGATCATAAAACTATGACAACCTGCAGTCTCTTGAGTACCTTTTGATGTCGAGGGTTATAATAAAAATCAAATGACAAAAGTAATGAATTGAATATTATATTCAAGTTTCCTACATCAGCATAGTCAAGCCGTCATATATTGAACACATAGCTTTGTTAGGAAAAATTACTATTTCTATTAGTGCTTATATCATGCAAGAACGAGAACAGCTTTTCACATAATATTGCTAGCACATTAAGAAGGCAAGAGTATCAACACGTTCAGAGCCTAGATAAATAAATATAGTCCAGGAAACAAAAGGAAAAATAATAAAGAGAAGCTAACCGAATCAACAGATGAGATCAAGGAAACCACGCACATCACAAGAGCCATTTTCCAATGGAAGACAGGAGTACCCCATTGTAACGGATACGGAAATCTAAACCATGGGGATGATTCCAATGCATAAGAAGTATCAACTCGACAATGCTTCATTTTTGAGACATGCTTTCTGCAGTGCTCAGAAACCATATTTGAGGAAGGTATATTTATGTCACACCCATTATAGTTGTAAACTCCAGCTTCAGTCAGCAAGAAAGCAACTGCCCATGTGATTGCGAGACCCAAAGGAACCTGGCAGTAAGGTGAAGCAAAAAAAATACAGTTAACAGAAATCGATTATGTTAGCTAGTAACTCAGAAGGATATTGTCGTGTTAAACTTACTGCATATATTAGAAATATGCGGTGCCCAAAAACAGATATTTTACGAAGATACTGCAGAAAGCAAGAAAAGGGATAGATCAAGAATGTTAGCAAATTGTAGTGATCCAATCATACACAGTAGGAACGTGAATTCAACACACTTACAAGAGAAAACACAATAACCACTAATATCTGCACAGCACCAATCTCCAGACACGTACCAACTATCGGAAAACCATAACTGTAAAATGAAAGTCCAACTGCGGCAATAGTTGGGGATACAACCACAGGATTGATTAACCTGAAAATTCAGATACGATCCTTAGTAGTTTCATTTCAGACAACTCTAACAGTATAGTCATTTAATCATGAGGAAAGGTAAAGGAAATAAGTCTGTGGTACTGACAGGTTAATATCATCATACTGCAATCCACAAGAGAAAAAATACCCAGTGAAGTTAAAAAGAATATGATCTCTCATCTCTCACCTGCTACCATTAGACACACTTATTACAGCAGGCTAGCTGAAACTGGACAAAATAGGAGGCAAATACAGCTTATTTCATTTCAAAATCCTATTGGCAACGAGATGCTTCAAATGCAGGCAGAATTGATTGAGAGGAATGGAAGATTGCTAACAGTGTTAGGAAGAAACTTATAGGAGTGGCTTGGACAGGACTTAAACACCCATAAATAGAGGGTTATTTACAAGCAATTAATTTTGCAAAAGAATTCAATAAAACTCATTAATCAATTAATTAATCAATAACTACATCATCAACCAAAAGAAAAAGAAATGGTTGCCCACAACACATAATAGAATGAATGGAAGCCTAAGAACTGGCTATGTGCTCTCCAAAAAAAAAATTAAGAGGAATTATACACATGACAGGAAGGATGGAACCATGAGAAATGGCGAGGAAAAATTATACTTCAAAACACTGTGTTTAATAATTTAAAACAAAACATTTTCATGTAAGAATATTCTCAATTTGTTAATTAAACTGCTAACGTAAAGCCATGAATGCATTAAACGACCAATTATTGTGGGTATTAATTACTATGGATTAGCTTCAATAAATAGTGAAAGAGAAACATATAATACTTTGAAATGGTCATGCAAAGAATGCCCATACACACGATATTTTAAACTTTAAAGCACTGGCATTTATGCGAACTAAATTTCCCTATTGTTTCTATTCTCATTATTCTTTCCTTCATTGTCTCCCACGGATAATCTACCAGTATTTCTCAAACTTCAGCAGTTGGCACTACACTTTAAATAGCCTCTATCAACAAGAATAAATACCGAGTTATAAAACAATAAATTACGTACTAAAAAACAAACAATATTGGGGCATAAAAAATTCCACAATCATACCTTACTAACAGTGACATAAGGCCGGTATATCCAAGGAATGTTTGAAAAGCCGATCCAATGATTATAGCCCCCTGCAGCTCCTTCATTATGTGTTTGAATTTCTGAAAATTGACACAATAATTCCTCAGCAGTCTTAGTTTCAGTTACTCTACCAAAAGGCTCACAATGCACACATACAAAAGCCCATGACATCTCACAAACAACCAACAGCAGAAACATAATCTGAAACACAAAGAAAAGTGAAGAAAAACACACATTTTCATTTAATCCTTGAAACTCGGAGGAGTTGATGATCGCTAAGGCCGGAGCCAGATATACAAAAGAAGGCCCCTGTATCAAGGGCAACCTCGACCCAAAATTTGTATGCAACAGTGTAGTCATTCCTGACACAAAGAGCACCGTCGACACCACAGCAGAAGTATCCTCCTACACCCACAAACACATCAGAAAACACAACCCTATAATAAATACATGTAAAAAGGCAATACAGTTAATTAGTCCTGTTTGGATAAACTTATAGAAGAAGAAAACAATAATACAAATTGAGTTCTCCCATAATTTAAAATAAACGCATAAGCTTAGCTTTTACCGAAGTTCTAACATCTACCTTCTCCATAAGCAAAGACATACAAGTTAATATAAAGTTGTGGAAGAAACTTAATTCATTTTAAATTCTTGTTTTTTTAAGTTTATGATTTACACAAAAGAAACTTGGTTAGAAACTGGAAATCACTCACGCGAGAGCCTCCCATTGCCGGAACCATAACAAGCGGAATGAGAATCATCGAACCCAATATCGAAACATAATGCTGAATGCCGTACACCCCAATGGGAACTAAAAAAAAACATCCAGGAAAGAAAAAAGAACCATTAGCACATAAATTAAACTTTATAGTATCAAAAATTTCAACCTCCAAGTAAGTATAATATAACTAACAGCACAAACATGTACACTAATTTTTGCTTTTAATTATTCCTACTCTCACCTAAACCAGGTGAATCTCTGAGGTCATACTTCATATGCGAATTCCTCGACACTAGACCATCGTCGTCCACAATGTTCTCATGACTCACAGTCCGCCGCCCCGGCGGAGGAGGTGGCGGCGGTGCCGCCGCCGCCGCCTGGCCATTAATGCTGGAAACGGAACTCTTGGGGACTCCGTCAGAGTCTCTGCGCTTCTTCACGACATGATCCTTGGGAGGAGGAAGCGGCGGGACCTTGTCACGGTGAGCCACGCCGTTGGCTGGTGTCGAGGCCGGAGCCCGACCTGCTTCGAGATCCACGCTAGTGTCGGGCTCCTTGGGCTTGGGCTGGAGGCTTATCTGACCTGAGTCGCTGGCATTGGCCTCGCCCGAAAACTTGGGCCTGAAGCCCGTTTTCTTGGCCCAGGTAGAAGGCGGCATTGCCTTGGCGTCCGGCAACGGCGCCGGTGGCCACGGCCCCGGACGCTGTGGCGCTTTGGGATCGGAATCGGGCATCGCTAGCAGCACATAATGGCTTCAGTGATATGTTGAAGTGTAGATCTGAAGAGCAGAGTGGTGAAGCGAAGGTTTAGGGTTTTTGTAGTTTGTCCGGAGGATGAGAGAGATGAAACTCCGGCATGAAAGAGAAAGAAAGTGTGAGAAAAAACGTGCAGTGAGTGAGTGAAGTGAGAAGAGAAGAAGCTAAAACTGAACTAAAACCGCGTTATTTAGAATCACTTTTTTATTATTTACTTTCGTAGTTTTGTTTTGTTTCTCATTTTGTCTTGCTTCTTTCCCTCCCTTCTCTTCTCTCCCGAAATAACCGGTGTTGCTTACGTCACTCGCGTTTGGATTGCGCTTTCAAATTCAATGCCAACAAAACAAAACACCAAGATTTTCTAACGCCTCCACCCCACTCATTACATAATGGAAAATTCCTTTAGATTTTTTTCTTGGTGGAAATCTATGAATATAAATGCAACTTTCAACTTAAACTCTCTGTTTATTATTCCTTAATTAACTAATATTTTGAGATAGATATTCACACTTAATTAGCATAAAATATAATTTTTTATTAAAACTGTGTCTGTGATTGGTCCTTTTCCTTCGTCAATATTTTCATTCTGACATAAGCAGCAGTTCAACAATTGGACTGCCAACTAATTCAGCTAAATTTGTATAAATTTAACCATGTTAAGTATCTTCATTTGTTTTCATATTTTGTGGTGTGTAGCACTTTGTACAATGACATCTTTGATCGCATTGTAATTTGTTTTATATGTGCATGAATTTGGTTTAATTTGCATATACCATCTTTAAATTTTCCATTGAAAGAATATGCCATGATGAAAAGATAGCTTGGACTACTTTATGTGTTCAGAATTTCCACAATGTTATTCCAAAGTGAAACCTGGATTTCTGTTCGATAAAGCCAATACATGACAAAAAGTTTGTTTTAAAGCTTTCAACACACAAAAATAATGAAAAAGCTTTGAATACTCTTTGTGTGAAATAGTGCAATCTAACATTCTTTTGTAATTTGAATTTTTTTGGTATATTAAAATACATTGAATTTAATGTTTTAAAATATATTTAAAAATTGTTAATATGACAAAATTAGTATATTATAATTTTATAGCTTAAATATGTTTTTAATTTATAAATTTAAATGTAAAATTAAAACTCACTTATTTCAAATTTTGGTATATTTTAATCTTCAAAATAAAAATAATAAATGAATATAGCTCTTCTAAATTAATGACATTAACTATTTCTTTTTGGTTAAATGGTCTTTTATGATTGACTTTGAAAGTGTGAAGACCCTATCAAATTTTTAGTTTCTCAAATGAAAGGATGAGAAGTAATCAGTGATAACTTAAAGTTCAAACAAAATGCCAGCTATGCATTGAACAACAAATTCAGAGGAATGAAAATTTGACTTCAATGATGAATAATGTATTTGAATTCATCAAAACATGCATACCTTCATTGGAATTGCAATTATCCAATGAGAGTAACTGATCACATGAAATTTCACACAAGATGGGAAAAGAAGGCTCGTGAAGAGGAGTAAAACGAGGGTTGAATTTGTTTTTAGTGCAATAAACAGAAAATGTTGAACAAATTGTTTGGTATGATGCCAAATTTTTTTTGTAAATAACGTAAGAAGGCAGAGGAAAAGAGATTTCCAAATTGCATAAGTCATGGCACATTCATTGGAAAGGTGTGTAGTTTGTTTGTGAGGTTCATTGGGATCTAACTCCATCCTGATCTCTAACAATATTTGTTCCAAAACATATCAGTTATTTCAATAAGGATCCTGTCTTTTTTTCCAACAGAAACCAGCTCTCTTTAGCCGTACACACACAGTTGTGTTTTGGTAAATCTTGTTTTGTTTTCATTATACAATTTTAGGTAACAAAAAAATAGTAATGTTGTATTAGATATAAATAATGTTTATTTGACACTTAAAAAAAAAGATATATTTATTATTTATTGTATAATTTATCGAATATCTATTTAAAAAATACTTACAAGTATTTTAAAATTCGCATATATATATATATATATATATATATATATATATATTATAAATATCTAAAAATTATATTTTATAAATTTTTAAAATAAATTCTAAATAAAATTATAAAAAATATATAAAATATAATATAAATTAAAATTTAATTTTAATTAAATTTAACTTAATAAAATATAAATTAATTTTAATTTTAATTAAATTTAACTTAATTAAATATAAATTAAATTTTTATTTTAAGTTTTTTTAAGCATCTAAATAAAATAGACATAATAAATATTCTGGATATCAATTATCTATTATAAATTTTATTCACTGATAACTACATATACATGTCTTAATTTATTTGAAATTTCACTATAAATATTATATGATTTCTTAGTTTTTTTTACTATTGTGAGGACATTTTAAAATTGTATTTTAACTTTTACTTCGATCAGAGCATCACTCTAAATAGTGTAATTGACTATTGGAAACAACTAAGATTCATTAAAAACTATTAATTTATATTGAACCATTGTCATTTTGTAAAAATTAATCATATGATTACGGTTAAATGAGAATTAATATTGTAGAGTCAAAATGATGACAATTTCACTGGTCCAAGGACTAATTTTGAAATCTTATGTTATATTTTTTTGTCAATTCCATTGTGATATATATAATATAAAATATTATCTAACTTTTGTCCTAATGGTATATCTCATTTTAAGTTCTTAAGTAAATTTTTGTATGTCTCTCAATTTAATTTTTATTATTTTGTTGATACAAAATGATATTTATTTTTTGAGATATTGAGAGTTCGTCTAGAGCAATACCTCTTTTATATTATAGATCTAAAAAGTTTATTTGCCAAGAGATATTGCATAAGAAACTTATATAATACTTACACTTTAATTAATGTTTATTTAATTGCTAATATTTTTAAGACCCATTTTTTTTAAAGTCCATGTTGTTATTTAAGACTAGTAGTCTTAAATCTTATGTAGTATAATTTAATGAGATGCTTTTGCAAAATCCAAATTTTAAACTTATGATTTAACCTAATAATATATATAATTATATTATTTACAGAAACCTTTTATGCATTTTTTTTTTATTATTTCAAGTGATATTTGGATGAATCTTTAGTCTCCTGTTCTGGATGCTTAGGAAATTTCTACATGAAATTGGTAAAAAGTTTCCTTTTTCTTACAATAGTAGCTTGATAACAGTGTTATTTCTTATAAGCAATATAAGGTTATCTAAATGAGTCTTCACTTTGAGATTTTGAATCACAAATGGTTGAAAACTTCATTAGACAAAAGTTATGAGAGCCATGTTATTCTCTTCAACGATAAATAATAAAAATAAAACTATGATCAAATAATTTTTAAAATAAAATATTAAATAAATTAAAATTTTTATAATAATTTTAAATAATGAAGAATAAGAAAAAAAATTTCTTAATGTTGAGAATTGTGAGAAGAAAAAGAAGCAATGATGGTAAAGAGTGGAGTTGAAAGATTAATGCTTTGAAAAGGAAAAAAAATAAAAATACAGAGAGAAGAGAGGAAAGAGAAGGAAAATAGTAGGTGGAAAGTACATAGAGAAGAAAGCAATTGTGCAATGCCCTAGCCGTTTGAGGATGATAACGACTCATCTCAGTTGTCTCTTTTTTACTGTCAAAAAATTTACAATAATTCTTCCAGATATTTCTCTACAAATGCTTAAATTTTTGGTATTCAATGTTTCATCTTCCTACAAATTCATATATTCTTAAATTCATGGTAATTAAGGAATTGGTGGCTTTCAAACTTAAAAATTCACACACAACTTAGGACAAAATTAAAAAGTTAAATAAATAAATAAATAAAAATAGCTTGTGAAAGATTGTTGGGACCAAGATATTCTTATTTTATTCTCTTTTCATTTACAATTTCTCTCTTACTTCCATTCTATTTTCAAACCTTTTTTCCCAATACTACAATATGTTTCACTGCACCTTTTTTATGTCAAAATTATATAAAAAAAATTGATATACACGCATCAGAACAGAACTTCGTTTACAGAATCTAAAAATTACTTGAAAGTGCAACAAGTGAGAAATCAAAGAGTCTGTTGCCACACTGTAAAAAAAATTCAATTAACCATACACAGAAAATCTCCCTACTTTAAAATGAATGGGATTGTGAAGTTAGCAATTTGACTGTTCTGCTCATTCTTTTGTGCAATTTCCTTTAAACTAGTCCAAGATTTTCTTCTTCTTTTGCTGGACGTACCTGCAGATTTTGCTACTTCTTTGGTAGTTTTAATGGCATTCTTGGACAATAAACTATCTTGCTTTCTCTTCCTTCCTTCTGTCAAGGATACTGTATTTGTACTTGAAGGAAACACATTTATCTCATTGATTTCACCATTACTTACAGTGTCTTTCTCTAATTCAGAAGTTCCACTTGTGAGGAATTTTGATGGAGGTATTGTCTCTAACCTTGATTTATCTTTTGATGGGTAGATTCCTTTTATGTGTCCCTTGGGAGTCCCTCTCCTCAGATTCTGATGCAAACAGAAATGACATTTGTACACTACATTGTTTTGAGTGATGCTACCAGACTTCTTCTTCTTATGCCTGACCTTCGATTTATTCTTCTCAATTCTTACAGTTGAATTAAAGCCAGGTTCAAGAACAGTTTCGCATCTGCAGACCAGTGAACGATTGTTGGGGTTGATAAACACATGTTCACACAAAAATCTTGTGCAATTTCCAAGCATAAACTACTTAAAGATACCTCAGAACATGAATCTGATCAGATATTCAAACAATCTCAAATAAATGTAACTTCAAAATCTTTGAACAGTTTGGAACTATCTCATTCTTTTTTAATTTTCTCAAATTAAATTATTATTAATGAAAGATGACTAAATTCTTCAACAATATACCACACAGATAAGGTAAGTAAGCAGCAGATCACTCTGTAACCTAAAAGCATTAAAACTTCTGACGAACAAAACAGCATAGAGAAGAAGTACAGAAAAAACCCTCTGCAAACATTACATAGTTCTCACAAATTAAATAGTTAATAAGAAAGTTGAAACATGTTATTTATGGAATTCTGTTACTATTCACCAATTAGAATTGCTGATATAACATATGAAAGTGGCTAATAAACATAACACTTTTGCTATTTTTGATCAGATGATAAACAATAAATTGACCACATTGTTCAGCATTATTATTCAAAGTGTCGCAGCAAGATTAATTCAGCAAATTCAGTTCGTCACCAGTGATTAAACCCATTAAATTTACTTATTGAAGAGAGAACTTCTGAACCGAAACTACATAGAAGGGCAAAGATAAAAGTAAGCAAAATTGAAATAGGGACTGAGCAAACCAGACCTTTGACAAGTTATTAGAGAAGAATCAGGAGGTATCCCGTTGGCTTCTCCAAAAGTGGCGAATTGGTGTCCGTAGAAGGCACCCAAAGACGGTATGAGAGGGTCGCTGGTGGAGGCCCATACGGCTAGGTTCTTTAAGTGATTAAATCTCAATTTGGACTTGGTGTTAGTGGTTGCCTTGGTTTGTATTTTTCCAGTGGCTTCTTCTCTCAATGATATTGGAGCATGAGACACAGACTCCACTTTTTTCGCCCCTCCTTTCTTGCCCATGGGTTTCGTTTGTTGTTATGGGGAATTTCTTCAAACACCTGCTATGCACAAACAAACTCGCACAGAATATAATATGGTACTCTGATTCCAACCTATTTAAAAGAAACTGCATTGACCTGAAATTAAATAGCGTCTGTTGCAGAGTTTTTTTTTTCCTTTTTAAAGTTTCCTCCGCCAATTTGAATCTTTTAGTTGGGTTAACAGTAGTGATCCACTGAGGCCCAAAATTGTTTTCTACTCTTTTACAAGCCCAATCTTGGTGGATTCAGGAATTATTGCACAAATTCTATTTAACCTCTAAGTTTATTGATATATTTTAATTTTATATTATAAAATATTTTTTAAATGTGTAAATATTTTAACACTTTCAAAAAGTATCTCAAAACTACTTTTGGAGTGTTAAAATATAGAAAGTAGTTTTTAGAAACCGATATTTGAGGAGAGACTGAGACAATTGTTTTGGAATGGAAGGATGATATACCCTTCTCTAGTTACAAACTAAATATTTTTATTAAGAATATCCACATCACATGATAGGAAGATAACATTCGATAATTGAATTTCGTTTTTATTATGAAATAATAGATATCATATTTAAATTAAGAGTTAATTAAGTTATATATTTAAGACAATATCCTATTAAAAAATCTGATTATTTTTTTCAGAAATTGCACTCAGTTGTTATATTAATTTATTTTAAAAAAATGACTACTCTAGATATAATCATTTAGAATAAACTGGTCTATAATAAAATAAAAATACATACGCTTCAAAATAAGAAATTTACCATCTACAAATTTTTAAAAAATCATATAATTTAAACTAATTCAATTTCAGTCCTCTCAAACAGCTATTAAAATTTAATTTAATAATAATTAATTTCAATTCGCACATTTGGCCCCTTACTAATAATCTTTATTATCTCTGAATAATTATGCTTATATATTAACTGAAATAGTGTATCTTTTCTGGCTGTAGTGAACATATTATTCTTTGGTGATCTTAGACATCAAAATATTGGTCAAGGAAACCCAATAGACTCTTAAAAATGAGTTGAAAACAACTCCACCATGGTTTGAAGTGATTTATGGATTTCTTCTATGTAAAAAAATATTAATTATTGTAAGTGAACTCAGAAATCAATTTAAAAAATTGTAAGACTATTTTCAACCCATTCAAATTACTTCAAAACATTGGTAAGACAGTTTTCAGCCCATTCTCAAGTGCATGTTGGTTTTGCTGAACCAATATTTTTATACTTTCAATCTTAACTTTAAGCAGAGTTTATGACACTAAGAAAGAGAATAATAAAGCACCTTTCAACATATATCAAAACTTAATGGTTCAAACAGTTCAACCAAGATCCTACACTATCATAAATTACACACTAATGATGTTGCATCCGAGTCCTTTACAATCCTTGCTAAGCTGCTCCATCCAGGTTTTCTTGAAGTAAATCATTCAGTCGCTCCTTGAGTATGTTGAGTGAGAAGGTAGTTATTTTTCTTAAGTAAGCAAGGAAAATCTTTATCACTGATACAGTTTGATCAAAAGATGGCATGGCAGAAAGGTACATTTTCTGTAAAAAACGATGTGAAGATAGATCTGTGAAATACCAACAGGTAATAATGAAAATGAACTAAAAGGATGTAATGTAGGTTCATCTTTGCCTGCATGGTATTGCAGATTTTAGGAATTTGAGAAGAAGTGATAATAAAGTTTTCTTGAACACATGGTAGGCCTCAAGAGTTCTAGCAGTTAGAAAATCAAAGAGAGGCTTTACATTTGGTATGCTTTCCTCCTTCAGCTAAAAGAAGCAGAAGACAAAAACAATGAACTTAGATGCTGGTTAGATGCTAAAAACAATGAACTTCAGCTAAAAGTTTATACATACAAAACAATCACAAGCAAGTCCTGGTTACAAAATGTTAACTTAGATGCCCAATTTTCTTTTCACTAAAAAATAGAATTTCATCATACAGGTAATCGGCATCATTAAAGTTTGCTTCTAAAAATCAACATTACTATGATGGAACTCCAAATCTGATAGCAAAACAACACTAAAAGATAAAGAAATGCAACTAAGTTTTGTCAAAATCATTATTCAAATTATACACATTCTTTTGTTTTCCATCATTGAAACATATGAACAAAAGATATCAGAATTTATACCTGATCATTGGTGCCACACTGGCCTATATCAGACTTGTCCTGCAACTATATAATGGAAGAAGGCTTTGATAATGTAATTATAGATGATTACCAAAAATAATAATTGAATAGCTATAGGGAAAAACAAAGAAGGCTTACCTGAATAGAGTCAACCCTATCCTTCAAAGATGCAATTTCTTTTTCAAAAGTCTCCTTATTTCGCAATTCATGCTCCCTGTTCTCAATGCTGGATTCTTTCTTATTGTAAAAGGAAGATTAGTTATCAGAATCACAGACAAAAATAACATAGTTTTTCACATAGTTTTTCATTGGAGTTTCAATATCAACAAAAGTAACATTTTCAAGGAACAAAGGACCACGATCGCTTTGTATGGAATCCTTAATTGTTGGTACCTAAAATGTCATCATGTAACTAAAACTAAACCAACATTACATTTGAAATGAAATAATCTTATAAAAATCTCATTCACCTAATAGTGAAACCCTTGACTTGAGTTGATCTAGCTGACGTTGTTTGTGTAGTGCAAACATGATGAACAAGAAGATGAGTAGAGTGAAGAAGAAGAAGAGTTTTGAGTTCACCATTGAAGGCTTCATTTGAAGGACTCAGTGACAGTGATAGAGCAACCGTTCAAATTAAATTCCAGAACTTTTCAAATTCCTATAGCTTCTAACAGTTATAATTCCTCAAACGGGCTTATAAAGTTGTGTCACGTGGCCCGATCCGGTCCGTCCACTATGGGTTTTAGTGAGCTAATCTAATCTGGCTCATTTATTAGCGAGACAGAAAAATTTGGGTGTTACTCCCTCCACCACCACATTTTCTCCCTCCACCTCCCCAATTTTATTACATATTTTTTGAATTACAAAACTAACCTTTTATAATTACATAAATAACCTTTTTAGTTTTTAATCCTAATTATTTACTTTAATCCTAAAATATTTCTTTATACCTCTTCTCACCCACCTCCCAACCCTCCCAGATTTTCACCCAAACTCCATTACATTCGTTTCTCATCTTCCATTTTTCCTCACAAGGTTAGTGATGATCTTTTTTTTTTATTTTTTAAATGCAATGCATATATCTTTGTGTTGTGTTCTGTGTTGTGCTCTACTCTGCGTTTTTTTGCTGTGTGCGTGTGTTGGGAGAAAGGAAGAAGATAACCAGGGCAAAAACGGATGTCGGGTATCCGTTTGGATATGAAACGGATGTCGATATCCGTCGATGGATGTTGACATCCGTTTTCCCTTAAACGGATGTTGACATCTGTTTTCCCTTAAACGGATGTTGACATCCGTTGACGGATGCTCACATCCGTTTAAAGATTATACGGTTTATATTTTAGGGTTTTATTACGCACCTTCACGCCTCTGAACCTCTCACGCCTCTGAACCAGCACCTTGAAGCACCACCACACTCACGGCTGAAGATGAATTGCTTTCCCCACTTTCAATCTTACTAAACACAAAGTCCACCACACTCTCACGTCACAATTCTATAAAAAGAGAAGAAGAAGTGGAACATGAGAGACAACCCAAGGGTAGTGGAACGTAAGAGACAACCTGGAAAAAATATTAAAGAGAAAGAGAGAAGAATGATAAAGAGAATGAATGTCCACGTGAGATTTTAAATAATATTAACCCTAAAATTTTAATAAGGGTAAACTAGGAATGAAAAAATAAAAAAAAAGGGTAAAAGGGGAATGGGGTGGTGGAGGAAGCAAGTTGTGGTGGTGGAGGGAGTAACACCCGAAAAATTTTAATTTGGCTCGACCCACCACGGGTTGTTGGATAAACGGGTTGACTCACTAACTCACTTAATTACAATTTTTTTAAATAAAAAAATTCACTTTATAATTCAAATATAAACAAAATTCACTTTCGTGTGTTTAATTAATTATGAAAATAAGGAATTTAAATAATTTTTTGAAGCAAAAAATAATAAAAAAATATTTTTTAAAAAATTAAAATTAAATTTTAATAAAATAAAATTATGTGGGTGGGTTGGTGGACCAACCTGACCCACCACGGTTCAACTCACATGTATTGGGTTTAAATGAGCGGGGTTGAAATATGATCCCATAAAAAAATACAATTTTTTCAAACCCAACCCAGTTCGAACCAGTGGTGGGCCACGGGTTGTGACCCATTTTGACAGTTCTACATGCTTAAGAAGTTAAATCTTTTTTTTTTATTATAAAAAATCAATAAAAGAAATTTTATTGGAAATATGACCAAATTTAAAATAAAAAATTATGAAATATTAATACATTTATATAAGTTTATATTGCAAAATAATTATTGATAAAAAAATTAGTTCAATTTGGATGCTAGTTGCACATCAATTTAAAATAAGCAATAAGAAAAATAATGGTAATTTATAATTATTTTCGTTAGTTTAGTTTGTAATTTATAATTTATTTAATCTTCTTTCATTCCTATTTTGTAATTTGTAATTTAATTATAATATAATTTTTAACTTATTTGATTATTAATCTTTATATTTAATAAATTTAATTACTTTCTTTACTTTATTCTTGTCTTGTGCGTAGTTGAAATTAAAAAACTATATTAAAAGTTTGAAGTAAATCATGTTTATAGAAACTTTGTCACCTACAAAAAGTTATGCAGATGAAATAATGGTAATAGAAAATATACAGCATGAGACCATTTTAAGGTTAAAAATAAGGTTTAATCCTTTTCGACATCCCTATTTATGTACGAATGTCTCAATTGGGTCCTCGTTTTCTAAAGTGTATCAAAATGGTCCTTAATTTTGAAAATTGATATCAATTGAGTCCTTTCCGTTAAGTTGGCTGGACGGCGTTAAAAAAATTGATGAGTGGATGCTGAGATGACGAACGAACGCTCGTCCACCAGCGGACGAACGCTCGTCCACCAGCGAACGAACGCTCGTCCACCAGAGAACGAACGCTCGTCGACCTCTTACTGCTGGACGACCGTTCGTTCCACACTGGA